GTCAACTTGAAAGTTAATTGTCTAAGGGCTAATTTTTCAATGGTTAGATAAAAGTTGTCTGGAGAATAATTATGATGCTGTCGCCTCAGAATGTTTGTATGAGACAGGGACAGCAACAATTTTATTCCTCCGATAACATTTGTCTATTGAAAAATCGGCCTAAAACATACCTATATCAAGCTCCAGAATTCCGTAAAGCTGTAAGTTTATCTTCGGCACGTAATCATAATATCTTTCCTTTCAAACAAATCCTTCGTTGTTATATTGCACACTATAATTTGTAGTCACGATACAGGCGTTTCAAAATTTTCAGATATATCTCGACTCGTGGGCGAGCACGAGAATCTCGTTAACAATATTTGTAACATTAAGTGCTCTGTGAAAAGATACGAAGATAATTAAGTATTATAAATGTTTGTGCAATATGGAACGTATGGCAATCATTTCGCTTGGGTGCTTCTCCTTAAAATTCCCGGTGATATTTTCCAAAGCAGAAATATGTATATGTCAACAGCGGCGTTATTGATTATTTTGAAAACTTCAGTTATGGAGGAGGGGTTATCCTGACACAGGTATCATTATATACTTAAAAGAATACGTCTAAACGTCCACCCCAAGGTACATCTTACATGAATTACATTCCTAATATTTGCCTGTCTGCATCGATGGAAGTAAGTCCTCAAAAATCCATGTATTGTACGGCTGGGCTGATTGCCACATGGTTTAATTAAAAGCTTGTGTATAAATACTGTTCTAAACATGACCATTGAATCCAATACATGCCACGACCTCTAGAATAACGAGGTAATCATTAAAGGAGTGCCAAAGAACACTATAAGGGAGAATCGTGACTATCATACAAAAGAATTGACGTATTTCCAAAGAAAACGTCCGTTTATCTCGGACTGTATACATACATAAGGTAAATCAATTATGAAGATATCGGAACCAATCGGTATTGAAACACGATATCGATTGCTCACGCGCAGGAATGTGCGTTTTTGATTATGTGCGCTCTTCGCAGGTTATTCGATGTTTCAACTTGAATATTATTGCTAGTGTCATGGGTTATATAAAAGTTTATTTAATACTTTCTATACAACCTGTCCTTTTTGTTTAATCTGTGCTTGTGTTTTCTTTCGAATACTAGATTTTTTAGAGTTAGAACGCTTCTGCGCTACCACCGATCCGAATTTGATCCGAGCTGGTGAAAATACGGTCTGTCATAGTCATAGATCTACTCCTACGAACTAAGGAAGTTTTTACACCATCCGATTTTTTTCAAGATATACCCGAATTCTGACCTAGTTTTAAGACCTCTTAACTGGTTAAAAAATGTTGTTAGGCGTTAAGGAGAATTTTTTGAATATTTTGTTCATCTATAGTTGGTTATTATATGTATTATCATACGCGTCATATTTAGTGACTTAAGTTATACGTCATATTTAGTGACTTAAGTTAGTTGAAAATCTGGGGAAAAGTGGCATGCCACTCTTAATAATGTATTTGTAGGGATCGAACCAGAGAAGCAGTAATATATAGGTACATACACAACACAAGTCAAGGTGGCAGTCACATTGCTATCATTACTCAGGTAATAAAGACGTTATGATGTATCAAGTTGGTATGCCGCTGGCTGTCCGTACGAGGCGCTGTTGTCAACGCTTTCTTCATAAATACCTCGTTACATAAAGGTGAGGATGCCACATTCTCACTACTACATATGACCAATACTGAGTGGGCGTCGCATACCGTCCATTGTATTTCACCAAACAGCTAGAATTACAAGTGATTTGTTAAGATAGAAGAACTGATAAACTATACAATTGAGAGTTTGGGAATATGTTTCCAAACTTCCCCTTTTTTATATTAGTTTGTTCCATATAGGAAAAACCAGATGTACATTTAATTTCAATGAAGACAAATATTTGAATCATTGTTTATGTGAAACAAAAAAGACACTTGAAATATTGGATGACATTTTGTTATTTATATGCGGAAGGTGACCTGGACCTTTGTTTAAAGGCTGATGGGAACACCTCATGCGAGTGGGTTTGGGTAATAAAAACTTTAATCCATTAACTAATGAGTCTATTCAATGTATGAAACCATTTATGTAATGATATTAATCTCTTGTCATCATCACACGTCAATGAGGGATTTCCATTGACACTGTAGTACACAAAGCTTAAACATATACCTACATACATAATAAAAAATTGACATTGATTTGGCCTGGCATGTAGGTAACCTACAATTGAAATCATACATCAACATTGAGATAAAGATGCAACCTCTAAGACATAATAGGTGTCAGTGATTATAGAGTGGACGCAGGATGTTCAATTGTTTAGCTCGTTCGTTCGTGCTCGCTGATGAATGTTAATGTCAGTAAGCAGCTCGATGATTATCTGTGATTGTTTCCTGCGCAGGCGCGGGCGAGGCGAGGCGAGGCGTGCGCGGCGTGGCGGCTCACTGCGCATCGAGGCGAACCTCCGAGGAGGCCGGCGCACACGCAGCGCCCACGGCCGCATCGCTGCGTGTAGAGCACGCCTAATGACCATTCTTCCGGATCCGGCATGTAAAACCCCAGTAATACCAATAATGAGACTCATTTTGACTTAAGATGTACCAAAGTAAGTATAATTGTTGTGTGATTTTCCGCGTTTTTTGTGTTGTGATTCGTGAAGTTGGTTTAATAGGATATAAACGTAAAGGAGGTAGTGAGGAGTGGTGTACGGCTTTGAATTGAGATGTAAGCGTATTTTGCTATAGATTGAATCGAATGACATTGGACAGGGTATAGTGCGTTCCGTTGAGTGATTAAAACGGTCACGACTGATGCGGGTCCGGTGCAAATCACTGCTAAAGTTCACTTTCGAATAAGTAATTATATTTCTATACACTTTCAGAATACAGTCTGATGTTATATAATAGTTATTTGCTAAAATGGTATGCAAATTAATATTACTAGTAGCATTAAACAGCAGCATCTATAATTTGCTTCGTAGTAAATAAAATACTCGTATTTATAAATTCATAGTTGAGGTTGAAGTATAATTTAGTTATGGTCATGACCACCCGGGCTGCGGCTTCGCGCAATTCATGGCAAAAATAAAACAAAGGTGCGTCAACAATGACGACCTTGTCGCGCTCGCAGCCGCGCACCGCACCACCGCCGCCGTCGTCGTGACGTTGTGCAACACTGCTTCACTAGAAAGCACACTTTCTTCCACGTACATAGCTAGAAGGACTTGTGTCGGCGTGTCAGAATTGCCATTTGTATTTTCGATGATGCCGCAAAAGGTCAAGACTGAGTCACTTTATAATTCCGTAACATTAAACTTCCGCGTCAATTCGGCAAATGCTCGTGTAACTATTGCGATCTCGGTCACAGTTGATCGAATGCTGACCGTGTTGGGTGCAGGGCATGTGCATCGAGCAATGAGCAGTAACACGATATGGAGGCGCGGGTTGTGATGTCGGCGCTCGGTGTCAGGGTTCCGAGGTGGCGGTCCGCGGCTATTTACACTTTCACCTCACTACGGGCTTTACCAGAATTTACGTCATCGGTGCGCCGGCGCAATTATATCATCACGAAATCAGCTGCTGAATAAGTGGCACAGTGGCCCACTGGGCTTTGAGAACCAAGTCTCACTTTTTGTTTAGTTATTGTATTTTGGAGAGTTGCGATGTTCGTTATCGGTCATTAGGTTTCATAATGAGTAGGAAAGCGATTTACATTTTCAATTACAGTCATCATTCTCACGTACATGTGCAATGTTTTGAGGTTTGTAATGAAGTCACATTAGATACGTAATTATGTCTTGGTCATTTCATTGGTCAATATACCGAGTTGAATATTTTTGCGTGAATATACCTATAGCTAGATAGTGAGTATGCGTATGTGTATGGGCCAGCTGTATGGTATGTTAATAGTTTAAGTTAGATATATCCATTAAATTATGTCTGTGTACGAGACATGTAAACGTGATAACATGATGTTGAAGGTACGATATCAATGGTAATGACGTTCTTTAAATCCGTTAAAGTAACTCCTCGTTTTTATTCTATTACCAAGGTCAGTAGACTAGACTAGACTAGGCTAGACAGACAGACAGCAACAAAACTATTATTTTTCTTGAATGAAATCTTGTTTGAATTCAGAATTGTTGTGTGCGTTAGTTCATTTTTCTTCATTCATAATATGTTTTCATTGAGCGCTGAAGGAACAATATGACAATTTTCAAGATACGTACATACTATTGAATTATATCCACTATATTCCACAATTTAGCACCAAAATGTCATATGACATTCACACAAACACTTCAATAACCTTACTATTTAAATTTGCTAACTATTTGCAGGTCAAATTTAGTAATTACAGAATCCCCTAATGAGTGTTTAAGCTTGAAAATAAACGAGTTTTATAATTATAAATATTTTATCGTTAATGAATGTTAAATATCCTATTCTTGCGATGGCCATGAGCACGTAAGCTGTTCTGGTCACGGTCAGACTAAAGGGCTTTTAGCGTTTGAAAATATTTAGACAATATGGACAGAACAATAGTAAAGTTTGCTGAACATATTTCAATATCGCTATGTTGATTACACACACAGAGGTCTGTTGCATGCCGCCATTGTTTTTTCGCGGTTTCTCTTTACCTAGTCGTGCGGTACTTGTCGTGGACCATATTGTGAGGTTAGTCTTAGTTTACTAGTTACGTCACAAATCCATTACGTTATAGGTTCGTAAACAATGTAGTTTTGAAATAATTACGCTTCAAACGTACGTGTAACATAATATATTTTGATTCACTGAACATTACTCGTATTGAATAATACTGGTGGTGGGTTGTCTTTATTGTTTGCGGCGTGAGCCAGAATATGACAATTAAGTGTAACGCCGACGTAAGTTTATATGAATTCCTTGTTACTGAGATAAGTTAAGATATCTGTCGTAACTTTAGTTAATAGTTTTTTGTTTGAACTTACCCGTGTTCCGGTATGATGTTCTTGTACTTTTCTCTTTTCATTTCCACGTGTTTGTTGAGTGTAGCGGGCACGTTTCACCGTTCATGTCACAACACTGTCACGGCACACACTGTACAGTTCATTACATAAACACTGCTTGTTATCACCTAGTTAGATTCACTGTGTGTCCCAGTCCCATGACGCCACTGCCTGTAACAAAATTATTAGGTATTAGTACCTCTTTGTTATATTTAGACACTTTTGAACATAGTATATGTCAGTCCCATCGCATCTTATGATGAGTGTCAGACTCTTACTGACTAAGAACCCTCCTTTCCTTGTCCTGCTCCAGGCCGAGGCCGCGTTACCTTGCCCCGCAATTCCCGCAAACCTAACTGAATTGCGAGGAAACATATAATAATTAGTTTGAAATTGCCAATCTGCTTTAAGCATTTGAAATTGCCAATCTGCTTTAAGCAATCTTAATGCTCAAATCTTATTCTTGTGAGAAGGTTTGAACTTTTGCTTGTGGGTTCTTGTCTGATGATGTGCGTCTATTAACAGTTCAACGGATTGTATCTACACTTTCCAGGAGTAAAATGTTCCTATGAAGCAGTTGTGCAATACTCCACTTACAATTTTACCGAGTATTGTTGTAGTACTTCAAAATTATACAATGGCAAATTTTATTCCTAAACATTGGTGTATTGTGTCACTTATTTGTATTTCCGTGTTCGAAGCTTAGGTATGTTTGTTTGTACAGACTGTATGAATATGGTAATGTTGTGGTCAGCCATGATATGCACTTATTTGAAGTTAGTTGTAGGTACTTGGGTTAGTGATAGGTAATGAATCGAAGCAAGAAAATTAAAAGAGTGGCTCAGTTACAGCTGGGGCCGCTCCCCGGGACCAGAGAAGACATTTGATAAAAAATAAAAATTACATGTTTATGTGTGTTTTCTGAGTTAGTCACTCAGTGTTTATTAAATGAGTGCCTCATTGATTGTTACCCGATGGTAATGGACATCCGCAACACCAAAGAAGTTACGAGTGCGTTCCGGCGCGGCCTTAGACATTTTAGCAATCTAATTTAGAAATTATATGTATGTATAGTATGATTAGAACTATTATTAAGTCTGATGACATATCTCCAATCAGCTTCTAACTATCACAACGATTGATCGATTGCATTAGGAGGAGAGCAAATTAATCGATTATCTTATTATTATATTGTATTTTGTATTACATTTAGGAATTCGAGAGGTCGTTAACGTTGAACATTGTCGTGAATTTTGCAATCTCTTAGTTTTTCGCAACCAACGGTATTATTTTGAAGGATTTAAGATGCAAGATTGCTCCGTGTATTTGAATTGGCGTTCTTAAGTAAACATCATTATTGCTATTCATTAAATTTAATTAGTTTAGATCTTCAGTCTCGTATTATTAGCTTGGTAAATTAGTTCAGACGAAACTCGATAGATGGCGCAGCTGCTTCGCTTGCAGTATTTGCATTTGGATGAATGGGACAGAATACTATATTAGCGCTATCTAGTTGGTACAAAAACGAGATAAACTGTTTCCATACAGGCTTGGGAAAATACCGACTAGTGATAATACCGGCTGCTCACTGTGTTTATGACGAACCCTCTTCCGGAGATGTAGTTTAGTCTACCAGAGGGTCATTTTACAAATATAAAATGATTCCCTGGTAAGTGAGCAATCAGTGCCGCCCATGGACACGCAACAAGGTAAGACGTTACTAGTGCGTTGCCGATCTTTTAGGGATTAGGGATTTGTGAGATTTTGAAACTGAGGAGGGAAAGGATTGGGTCTCCGATAACCTCATTCACACGTCGAAATATAACGCTGTGGTTGTTTCAGGCCGGTTTTATGTGAGGCCGTCGTATCATTACGGTCGAGCTATTTACCAAAGTACGCCATTTTATGAAATAATTTCCGTATCCTTAGTACATTGTATCAACTAGTATTGCTTGTTACATTGTAAGTACCTGAGTATTGGAAGTTTTTATCGAATATTCTAGATCACGACGAGCAAAACACGTCGTTGTTGACGTTCGAGACTAGATCGTGAGAAATGTGAGCATGTCACACTGTTACACACAGCAGACATTCTTTATATTTATTGACGACGGTGAACGAATATTTCCAATTCAAGCGAAAATAAATTTTGGATTTGCCTATCTACAAAATTCAGTTTTGCATAAAAATACCAAATTAAAATTAAATTAAATACATTTTTTAAACTTATATGGTACTAAAAATAAGCACTTATGAAACCTCAAAAAAGAATTTTCCGTCAGTTTTTGTCAGTGAAACTAACTGCTAATACAAAATGACCGAGAATGATGAATTTAAAAAAACAAGTTTAGTTCTTTAACTACGTAAGCACAGTTTCCTATAACAAAGCAGTATTCCACGTGTACAATAAATTAAAACATTAATTGCTATTTAAATTAAGTCTTCTTGCAAATGTTTATGACACATCTTTTAATTAAATAATAAACTGAGCGGACGATCACACTGTCATTACTATGTACTTTACGTTCTAATCCTTGACGCGCACCTAGATATATCCTTTATCCTAATTGCTGTTATTTATAGCTCAAATGTTATCTGTGGTGTTGTAAGCCGGCCTTCGATTCGGGTCCTGTTGTGGACAATCACTTGATGTCTATAATTACTCATTACGTTAATGGATCTTCGATCGAAGTATTATATGCCTTGTCACGACTCGATCACACGAGTCATCACTGTTGTTTCGGTGTGTGATTTACTTGGCGAACCTACGCACTGCGGGATCTTGATTTATGACTGCGCAATGTGGGACGAATTGATCGTGATTGATCTTTGTTTCTGAAATAGTACCTTTAGGAAATGTTGATACCTAAGTGTTTGCTTAATGTGATTTGAAACTTAAGTCTTTTGGTTAAGACATAATTTCAAAGAAAGTTTCTACATTGTAATTGCTTCCTAGAAATAGGTTTCATTACAGTCATAACGTGCTTGTCTAGGAACTGACTATTTAAACGATGTAATTTATAAAACTCTTAGCGCCGGACTTATGTGGCTTGGTAAATGACATTTCTAAATTATGTTAAGCGAGAATGTAATTGCAGTAATAACTTCTGAATAAATTACAGCCAACCGCATGTGTGATTTATAATAACGCTCAGAAAATGGAAAAATGTTTGAATATTTTTAACAGACGAAAAATTCGATTGAGTATGAAAAGGAGTGAATTATAAACCAACGACTACTTAACAAAAATCCGGATCCTTGAAAGCCTTGAGCACAAAATCTTAATCAAATTCTAAGCTTTACTTGAGATAAACATTTATGGAGCTGACGACTTCAGAATAAATTACAAATCTTTCGAAACAGAACAACTACATACGTTCAATTTTAAAGTAGGATTACTTGTGAAGAAGGACATTGGAATTAACATGTATTTAATGTAAATACGAGGAAAATGAAAATGCAAACATGGTGACAGTGACACCTGTGCTGCGTGTGCGCCGTGGTGCGCGAGATATTTGCGCAAGACAGGTCGCAAAACATCCAATAGGCGACCTTGCCCGAAATTCTTCTTTGATCATCGGCGTCACCCTTTCCATTAGGCAGTGGGTAGGCTCTATCGAAGTAAAACCACATTCATAACTGTATGAGTCTGGCAGTGACGTGCTTTGGGATTTACATAACATAAAGTGATGTTTTCTGTGTCAGCCCAGCCCTACGCAAAATAGGGTTGGGCTAACACATACGATATAACCACTTTTCACAGTTTCTGTCGCGAGTCTGTGTGTGAGGTATCTATCGTAATTTAGAGATTCATACTGGGCAACTCCCACTGTACACAATTTTTTTTTTTTTATAAATGATAAAGGAATAGTACTTTGCCACGTTCCTATGTGCTAAAACTAGGTTTTTTTTTTTTATAATAACTATCGTGAGACATACTAAATTAACTAAAATTCGCGGGTTACTCACGTGTAAATGTTGAGAAAAGCTCTACTAGTTACTACTACGCGCGGACGCGGCGACGTCGCGCAGCCTAGTAGGCTGCGCGACGTCGCCGCGTCCGCGCACGCTGCTCATGAGGAAGAACCCCTCTGTGGTTCGAAACTAGTAGAGCTTTTCTCAACATTTACACGTGAGTAACCCGCGAATTTTAGTTAATTTAGGTTTTTTTTATTTAGTCTTCCCTTAAATCTCATAAATGACAAATAAAATTAACTCTCTATATTTTTATGTATATTTACAAATACTACTAAGTACATATTTACAAATCTAATAAAAAAATTGCATGACCAAATAAAAAAATACGAAATATTTTCTATATTGGGGAAGGCAGCACCGAACTTGGATTTTCTATGACGTCAGAAATTTTGACGCAGAGCTCACTGACTGACGTAGTCAGACGTTGAATAGTAAAATACGAATTCATCTGAATATATTGGCTGCAAAAAGTCGACCTCGACCGAGGACATTGTCGGTCGCATCCTTACTAAGTACGATTTGATGTAACAATGCAATATAACAATATTTGACTTTGTGGTTTAGATTATAAAGTCCTAATCAATCTGTCCTGAGATTATTGGTAGCGAAATATTGTAGCGATGCACTGAAAAGTCTACAAATAAATATAGGTATACTCAACAAGTAAGTCATAATTTGAAAGTAACTCAAAACCTTAATATCGATTCTGATGGACGGAGGGATTACATTAACAAGGTCTAAAGTCACATTAGCATTGTTTTTTTTGTACGAAACCCTAAAAAATAAAAATCTCTTTGTACTTTACATTGACGAAATCGCAGTTGCGTGTACGCCAAGTTACCATAGACGAATATTTTGCCAAACCGTGGAACTGTGAATTGCTTTGGCACACAATCTTTTATTTCAATAGCTGTGACGATGGCGACTTAATATTGCAAAGGGCTAATGCAACACTTAATAAAGATACGATGGACTAACGATAATGGTAATGAAGACCGAAGGAGGTATATGATTAATGAATTTGCATAACAGTGTGAAAAAAAGCGTCATATTTCTACGCGATAAGGTAGATTTTCGTATGCTCTGTGGTGTGTGAATGATTAAGGTCCGTGTTAGATACATCGGTTGGGCTTAGCTCATACTTACGTGTGAAACTGTACCACATTGTGTTGAGGCAGTAAGGGTGTATGCAG